CATTTGTCTCAAGTCTGACGACGACCTGGGGGGGATCCATTGTGGAACATTTACTGAATAAATTTCCTCATTTTCCCAAAGAACGCATTTCCTTGAAGTTACATTTCTTGGGATGCCTGTCCACCAGTTTATACGAGATTAAATATTCCTGATCTTAACCCTAATACTAAGTCAAACCTTAACCCCAAGTCTAATCTTAAACCTCACCTTAGCTATAACCTTTCCACCAACTGAACTTTAAGTCTAGCTTTAGTTTTCTTGGAATTTAGCGGACAGCCACCTATAGAACGTGGCATTTCCTGCTCCCATGCTCTTTCCGGAAGAGGGTGACATTTTAGCCATTACTGCAGTTTTTTGGAACAATTCACGCGCCGAGGAACCCGCAGCTGAACAGACAGACAGACAAAACCAATCCTTCGCGAGTTTTTTCTTTATCGTGGCGAAGTTTCGTTAGTGTTGCAGAAATAACGTGCTCATCCCGTCTCTAGACTGTCTTACTCGCCCGATATCTGGTAAAGGATTTTAATTGGAGGGTGATAACGGCTGCGCAATAATAGTGGTGTCTACCTGACTGCAGTATCTTCCAGTTGAACCAGACGAGAGGGCACTGCGTGTTCTACTTCATCCCGACCTTGCTCGCCCATTTAGGCTTTTGCCCACTACGCACCTCATCTCCCCATCATGAAGCGTTTTCCGCGCGCAGGTGGTCATATCGTCACCGGAGGGCCGTAACTAGAATTCGAGGTGTTTTGATCCTCTTATCAAACAAACGAAGGTGTTAGGGCATTACTTCGGAGGGGCAAGCAGGTGTGCTGTTGTCACTGACAAAAAGCCATACATGCCGAGTTATTGAGGTGTCCTCAGTTCCCTCGTACACCTTTTCCCTGAGTACTGGCTCCCCTATTCAGGGGCGACTAGCCGAGCTGTGAGCCATTTGCTTCTTTAAAGTGTGCGTGTGTGTTAGGACTATGGTCAATTCGGTGGAGGTAGAGTGATCCACTGCATTCTTCCATTCCCACAACCCATCTCTCTCTCTCGCTCTCTCTGCACTTGGTTCGCTTTTTAAAGATTCTAATGGTAGACTGCCTTGCAGTGC